TTTATTTTGAAGTTTCTGGTAAATTATAAAGAATACAGATTATTAAATTTATCAAATTAAACTATATATATATAAATCCTGCTAATGAACTTTTAATGAAATTTAGTTCACCATTAAATCTCTGATGAACCAGATCATCTATATTTAAAATTGTATAGGTTTTCATCATCATTTGATGTATTTACACTCATTGTGTCAACTTTCATTGTTCATTTTAGATGTGTGGTTTTGTTTCTTGTTCACATATATATATATTATTTTTAGCTTTGCTTTAAAGTTCTTGTTTTGTGATTTGTACATCTGTGGGTTAGAATAAATTTGAAGTGAAGGATGTATCTCTTTTTTAAACATATTTGAGGGAAATAATCCTGAGAGATCCAATAAATGTGTGTATTTTTATGATTTTCAGCTGAGTTAACTTTAACAGATTATTTGATAGTCATTAAAGTGAAAACAGGATTTCATGATAAAGCAGGCATCATTTATTTTATTTTTTCAATCTTCACTGATGAAAAAAACCAAACTTTTTTTTAATACATAAAATTTTTTAAAAATTTGTTTCCACCCTCCTTCCCAGACCCGTCCTGGTCTGCCGGGGTTCAGGGTCTGGTCTTCATGATCACGCAAAGCAAGGGCCTGGAGCCTGAGCCCCGAGTCGACAGCACGGAGGATCTTCCGTGGTAACTGGCGGAGCTCAGAGGCGGGGAGATGATGCTCTGCATGTCCTGAGGGGGCTCCAAGGCTCCGTCGGCGCTCCATCTAGCTCGCTCTGAATTTTGTCATCAGCCACCAAGCACAAGAAATGCCTGCACTTCAGCATTAGACCACGGTGTTGTCATTATTGTTTTAAAATCTTTCAAATAGGTCCAGTCACTCCTCGAGTTTGAGTTTTTGCAAATGGCGGATCTTGTTGATGTGAAAAGTTTCCCAACTCCACCCCCTGACCAATCAGTGACCGACAGTGTTCTGATGTCACGTTTTAGTGCCGATTCGTCCCGCTGGGAACCTCAAAGAAAAGGGACTGGTTCTATGAACCGTTACTAGTGGAAAAGCCTTAGAACCGTGCCGAGTCGAACCGTGCTGTACCGTTACTAATGGAAAAGGGGCATTAGTCCTATTTAAATCCCTTACCTTGCATAATTACAGAAACAGTCTATAAGAGGGTAGCTCAAGCACAGAGGCTGCTGAATTTCGTTATAAAGGTGAAGGCATAAACATTTGGACCATGTTGCGTAAAGCTAAAGAAGCATGAATGAGTACATGAAAAAGAAAGGCTTTATAATGAAAAAAAGATAGAGCAAGGTGGTGACATCAACGATTAACCTTATACCGAACTGTTTTGTACATCAATGTCACTCACATTTAATATCAAGTGTAATCAAAAGAATTATGCTAATTTAATTTGATGCCTCCTGCATTATGCAAATCTCCACTAAATATAATGTATCCTGACACCTGACCAGTGCACTACACACAACGAATGGTTCTAATTATCAGAGATGAACTTTAGAGAGAAATTGGGGAATGTTAAAGGGGATAAATTCACATTAAAGTGTTGCAATTAACTGAAAAACTGCTGATCTGTGATCGAGGTTTGTGTGCTGCATTCGTTTACTGTAGTAAGGACATTTAGACTGCCATGACTCCATATCAAAGCTACGCTGGTTATTATTAAAAGGTCTTTGTGTAAATTTGTCTGGAGATTCAGAAAATGTTTCTGTAATGGAGTGAGCACACAGAAGTACATGAATGAAAAACAAACAACAAATGTCTGCCACCAAAGCAATTTTCTTTGTGCTGTATTAGTGACCAACATGTCTGCATGACCCACAGACGCTGACAACAACCCCACAGACACACCGCTATAAGTGGTTCATAATAACAAGGGGACTCCTCGCATCAGACGCAGTCAGCTGGTTCACTACAACCAAATGTTACGGAGTAAAACAGCATGTCATGCTGCCATTTGACACGGTGAAATAAGATTAGATGAGATCCATTTCAAAATGCGGGCAGTGCAGTGGCAGGCCTGTTCCAGCAAACAATCTGCAATACAAGAATACCAACCAACAGGAGACATATGAAGGCATAAAAAGTGACAGACATACAGAAAAAAATCTCACTGCTCACTTCAGAGAGATTGTGCAACATATTTGATATTTATCCTCCTATCAAGGGGAAATCAACATCCAATGTACCTGTTTTCATTTCGCTATAAACCATCGCCTATGTGTTGTTTGGGATCTCAGTTCATACTCAGTCAGAAATATTTGACAAAATCTTGAAAAAGATACAGCCAAGAGCTTTATTAGTTGGGATTGACAGAAGGAAGAATTGATATATATATATATCAAAATGCATTTCTTTTTATAATGTCTTTTAATTGATTTTTCATTTTGAACATATAAAGCACAAAAAGAACATAAAACAAACAAACAAAAAAAAACCTCTCACCCCTTCCCTCCACACCGGATCAGTTACAAATACATAAATGAATTAAAATGAATTACACAGGCATTGACAAGTTTTCTACATACAACATAAAAGGCTGCCACATGTCCCAAAATCTGAACCCTGAAAAACAGAACCCTTCAGGGTATATCTTATTTTTTTCCAAATGGATATGATATATCACCTCTCTTATCCAGTGTACATATGCTAGGGGGCGGGTCCTTCCATTTGCACAAACAAGTCTCCTGGCCAAAAGAGAGCCAAAAGCAATTGCATCCTTCTCATACTTGCTGAAGGAAGTATCCACAGGGACCACCCCAAACAGACGAGTGGTGATGGGTTTACAGTTTTTCCACACATCCTAGAGAAAGTGTCAAAAATAGATTGACAAAAAGGTCTGCAGTTTGGGACAGGTCTAGAATGTATGCAGGAGTGTAGCTGGCGTTTATTTACAGCGATTACATGCAGGGTCCAGGTTGGCTTTGATCTACAGCTTGTCCTTGGACCATTGCAGCCTCAAAATGTATTTCTTGTCAATAAAGTGTTCTGGACAAAACAAACAAACAATAAAAGTGTGAAAATAATCTGATAAGTCTGAGTTAGCCAGCAGCAAAATAATAATAATTTAAAAAAATTACAATCTTTTAATTAATCTACAATCTTTTAAATATTTTTTCTCAAAATATGCTGCTAGCTAGCTAGCTAGCTAGATAGGTAGATAGATAGATAACATCCTACGATTTATTGCTTTCCAAGCAAACCTGTGTGATATTGATATTGCAACCATTATCATGGTGCTCCTTGTTTCATTAGCTCATCTGTTTATCATCGCCTAGTCAGGCCCAGTCCATTTAGACTATTAGTTCTTACTTCTTCTTCAGTGGAACATTACACATTTTACATCCCATGTCTAGGTTCCTTTGTGCCTCCTAGTGACTTTCCATGTCTTTTGGTGATATCGCTCAGTGTGTGCAAGTTTCTCTACTGCCACTTTAATCTTTGATTTTGTTAAAGTTTAGTTGTTTTTTGTTTGTTTGTTTGTTTGTTTGTTCACATAAGTTCTTAGAGTTAGTCTGCAATTCCTGGGTCCAAACCTCAGATCACCGTGACATAAATTGCATTGAAAGTTAAGTTTTGATCAGCCCTAAATAAAATGATCATTAGCTGCAGGTTGACAATAAATTGTTAAAATCTGTAGTTATTAACAACAATTATTATTTTGGTTTAATTATAACTATTTTAAGCATCAAAATTACCCGACATTTATTTTAACTATAAAATATGTTCATATTGTATTTTCATGGATTCTGTAGGACAAGATTTCTAAAGAGTGTGTTACTAAGGAGTCCTATAAGGTACACTATTCTAGGACTAAAAATGAGCTTCGATTTGTCCCTGAGGTAGCCCATCAAGAGGTGGGGAGGTTAGTTGGTCGTCACGGCCATCCAGACCCTGGTATGTGAAAGACTGCCAGAATCAATGCTAATTATACTGCCATCTGCGAGGTGCCTGTGCTGGTGTGACACCTGTTTACTACCAAGTGACACGCAGAAACTTCAATCAGGCTGTGAAACAGGATGCTAACGCAGTTGAAGAGAGAAATGATTGGTAAAAGAATTGACAGCAACAGTTGTTAGTGGATAACCAGCTGAGACATACCTATTCTTGACTTTCACTCAACATCAGGGTATTTACTGCTATCTGAAACAAAACATGATCCACTACATCCTGTTCCTTAAAAGCTACAGCCTTGCTAAAATAATGCCTAATTGACTCTTTCTCTCTGTCAGCAGTCATTTCTCTTCTTGAATCCCAGCTCAGCCTGAAGCATGTCTGCGATAAATGTCCCTAAGGGTATAGTAACACTGTCCTTTTCCAGATAATTCATCATGCTAAGACAATCAGGCAAAAGACTTGATTAATATTTTCTAGGGGATCTTTTAAACTTTGGAGGCTGATCCAACCAGCCACAATAGGCAGACTGTTTGCAAGAGGAAACCAATAAGCAAGTTTTGGATCTTTGCTCACTGAGACCAGAGGCCTGTCAATTCATTGCCCCTTGAAAGAGATATGCCATTAAGGTGACATGAGAAACAAATGAGGCCAATTTCTCCTCCAGTGTCCCATCTGATATATCAATAAATGCCCTGCAGCCTCAGGATGCTCCAAGATAGATTCTTCCTTGCAGCCAGGCAGTCAGTGGAATACATCTGAACATTTTCTTTCATTGGTCAACAACTTGGACAAAAAAACAATAGACTAGAGTTAACTAGCAGCAGCAAGTTGTGTTTGGGCACACATTTGAAG